ACTCATTTTTGGCGTATTCTTTTATTTGCAGAACGGTCTCATCACCTCTACACTGTTCTCTTCACCTTCTCTTGTTCTTTCTTCTACCCATCTTTGCATGTGCCCCTCCAAAATTTTTTTTTGAGTTGTTCGGTCAGTTGCGTGCTTTGTTCTTCCCAGTGTCGTCCTTTTTTACCACCATCACCAAGTCAGTCACCCATTTTTTGTTTATTCCATTTCTATACAAACTGCTCCTTCTCACTTTTAGGTCCCAAAAATATACTTTATGAGAGAAGGGGAACCAAGAGAAGGGGCTGCTCCAAATGGGCAATTTTGGGGGCCCCGCAAGATTCATAACTTCTCTAAATTGGAGGCAAGGGCTGCAGGCAAAAAAAGAGGCGTGTCTTGGGGGCTCGGAAGGCGTGCATTTGCTCATATAATTTATAGACGGCAGCGATAACATGACTTTTTGCAGAACAATATTTTTTGAGAACGTTTGAGAAATCGCCTCAAAAATCTGAAGAAGCCGCCTCATAAAATTTGTTTGGTTTTATGCGATTTGAGATTGGAAATTTTCGGAGATGTGAAAAAAAGTGCATATGAAGAAAATTGAGTAGTTTTTGAACTTTTTTCGTGTTCTTCTAGTTTCTTGTTTTTTGAGTTTCTTGTTGTTCCATTTTCGAAGGATGGACTAATACCAAAATTCCAAACAAAAAAAGTTTTTTTCAAGTTAATCATTTGAGAAGTTGGAATATTCCAAAACTAAACTTTCGAAGTTCAGGAAAATCCCATCAAAAACCTATGTATGAAAATCAAAAACTCAAAAACAGATTTTTAGAATGTAGGAAACTGGGAAAATTCAGGAAACAACGAATTTGAAATTTTTCATATATACCTTTAGAAATATATTATTTTTCAATTTTCTCGAAATTCTTTGAATTTTCATAACAATCTCCTGCACACTCCTGCTCCCCTGCTTGTCCCTTTAACGCTTTTTAGGAAAATTCTTTCATTTATGACTAAATGATAACAATAACTTCTATAGGATCATGGTCCAAACCGGAAATGTCCTAAAACCTTCTCTCTTCCCTTAAGATGCTCTAATCGGAAATCGTTGCTCAGTAACCGAGAGTTTATGACTTTTTTACGACATCCGCAAATTCGAAAAGCGGTGGTTAGAAGAAAATCGAAAGAGAACTTCTTTTCTGTTTTCTACTTCTTCCTCTTAATCTCCGTTTCATTTTCCAGCGCTCCTCGGTTAAATCTCGTTGGTCTAATGTGTGATTGCCAATGAGACCATCAATCCAGATTTACGAGGTGATTCGTGAAAAGGTGTGCGTGTGTGCTGCTCGAATGCTCTTCAGAAGCTCCGGGCGCACATTTTCATTGAGCCCCGCTTTATTTTACGACTTGTAATAGATATACCAGTTCGTTTTTATTTTCTCTTCCTGTCAGATTATAACTGGAACCCCATGACGTTTCGAAATGCCTTCCATACCTCCTCGTTCTCAGTTAATCCTCTTCTTCTGGGAAGCAGTCAGCAGAAATTTGCGTTTTTTCTATATTTTCCAAAAAAAAAGAACAACAAAGAAATGAGTTCGATAATGATCACTGACTTTGAAAATTGCTCACTGGACTTTTCTTTGTGTTGCAAATCAGTGACAAGAGGGAAAAATTGAGAAAAAAAACGAAACATATGCTGTTCATCAGTTTATCTGTCAGTGACTGCACAATCCCCATTTTTCTTCTCTTCTCATCATTTTTTTTGAAAGTCTTCTGGGTTTTTGAGAGACTCGGGCGTGTGTCGGAGGACCCACTTCCACCAACCATCACTCTTATTATGACATTTCTTTTTCACTTTTTTTTTCTCATTTTCAAAAATTTCTTTTATTTTCTCCGTGCAGGCACGTTTATTGTTATTACCTTAAAATAGAGGAAAACGGTTCGCAATTTTTCGATAACGATCAAGTTCTGAAATTGTAGAAATTATCAGATTATTGTATTCCACAGTGAACACTTTTGAAAATTGCCCTTGACTTTCTGTTTCGAGTCAATTGATCTTAGTTTCCGTGAAAAACTTGGAAAGAAAGACTGAAAGTATAGTACCGGTCAACAAGATACACAAAAACGTATTTTTCTGTTGATTTTCTGCCTTTTTGATCATTTTCAGGAGCCTGTAGCTCTACCATCAAGTTTCCGAGCACTTTTGAAAAATAGGAAACGTGTAAGACATACCTAGATTAAAAACTTTACATTCAAAGCATTTTTGAAAATTTCTAGTTTATCAGATATTTGGGGATTTTTGATAAACGCTTGCTTGTTCACGTTTTCAGTTCAAAAATGACCAAACAGGGTTATCTTTCAGAAATCGGCGAATGACTGAAAAACTAGGAAATTTCAAAAAATTGTGGGAATTTAAAGTTTCCAATTTATGTATGTTTCACACCCCTCTCCGAAGTTTTAAAAATTATTGGAAACTTGACAGTCAAGCTCCGGATTCTTGAAAATGGTAAAAATGACCAAAATCAAAAAAATTTTTTTGAATGACTTATTGACTGGTACTGTCACATTATTATATCCAAAGTATTTTGCCTATTGAAAAATTTTTGTAATTTTTCACAGGAACCGAGATAAACAGGCTAAAAGTTGACGGTCAGGTTCTATTTAAATGTTTACAATGAGCTATTCCTCTGTTTCAAACACTATTTCACTTCTCCTACCGTAGTCATAACTTCCTCGATTATTTTGAAAATAATTGCAGCTCTTTTAGTGTAAGAATTATTATCTTTCTCTAGTTTGCTCACCAAGCAATTATTTCTGAATCACTGCTACATCAGAATAATGTTTCTAGCTGCAATTAACAAACATGTTTCTTATGGCTGATTCATCAAAACCCAAATCTCCTCCCTCACCGCCAAATTTTCTCACCCCGCTAAGCAGCAGGGTTACTTGACTAAAGATGGGCCGTATCAAAGCCTCTTTCCACAAAAAGAAATAATTTTGTGACAGCTTGGACTCGAGATTAAAACGCCTGCCCCATTTTTCTTTTGTGCCGTTTTTGCCGCGCCTTCAAAAAGCATCCCGGCTTCTTTCGACCATTTCAAAGATAAACTTGGATTATTTTGGCACCCTCCCCCCACACACATATAACAGTGAGTGGTCTTTCTTTTCCGCACTTGCCGAAAAGTGATCCTCCCGCAGTTTCCTCTGAGTACTTGGCCATGTGATAGCGGCTAATCAGATAATATTTGCTGCTCATCCAATTGGTTATTAGAAATTTGATCCAGGAAGTATGTAGTGAGATATATAGGCAAATTAGGAAACATGTGGCTGTGAGAAACTATTTTTAGTTTAGATGACATCTTTGAAATTTGATATTTTAAGAATATGATGTCAGTGAGCAGCAATAATCAAAAGCTGTCTTATTTTAAATACATATTCTTATAAATAATTCTGAATAGACTTTTCGGCAGTTTCAGAAAATTGACCTCAAACCTTTTCATGGATCTTTTTTTTTCTCCTAATCAAGTTGAGGACCCAAACGTTTTGGGTGATTAAACCGAAAAAAATTACACTGATCATATTTTTAAAATGTTGTTATTAGTCTGAAAATTGTAACCGTAAAACCTGTAATTGAAGGGCCCCTTAACTTTCGACTTTGAGTAAGTTTTTCTCAGTTTTAATAAATATATTTTTTCAGCAGACAGATTTTTGATATCTCTCGTGGAAGTCGGAATAATTAAGCAAAAACCACCATATATAGGGGGCTCTTTTAAAGCCAATACCGTAGTTAGGTTTAAGAAACCATGTTGGAATTTTGGTGTTAGATTCTCTCAAGACAACCTGCTATTTCTTTTCTTAACGCAACATCTACCGTAACCAATTTTTGGTGATATCACAAACACCTGTGTTTACTTTGTCCTTGTTGAAGAAGAACACGCAACGCAATTTTGGAAACATTTTTACTTCAAAATTTTGGCTGGACAGTTGCGTCACCTCTCCTCCACCCGGTCCACCAAGATCTCCTTAACCCTTTGCCTTTTTTTTCGTCTTTTCATGTTTTTTGTCCCCACCCCTCCCTCTCGCTTCTTTTTTTCTTTTTCTTAATGTAATTTTCGTTTGGTGCCATTGTACATAAAACGACTTGCACTAACCCAATTTGAAAAGCACACATCTCTCCACGCATCCATCCATCTATCCACACGCACTCAGTCAGGCTCATCCTTTTAGCTCCTCTATAGGATAGACACTCTCGACGGTGAAAAAAGGTCTCGAAAAAATAAAAGACGATGTATTGGATGTAGTATTGTCTAGAAGATGGGTGCTGGTGTTGTGCAGTGTATATTTATTTGTATCTCTGTCAATTTTTTTCTTCTGCTCAAACCCTTCCTCACTCCCCTTTTCCGGGGCTACTCCTCATCTGTCATCCTTTTATTGCAAAACCGCTCGGGTTTTGTTTCCCGGAATGTGGTTGGCAATTGAGTCAAAATGAGTGGTGAGGAAGAGAGACTAAAAGAGAATTTTAAATGGAAATGAATAAAAAAGATCGGATTTCGCAAAAACTGCGCTCTCGTCAGATTAACGTGATAGTTCTTCAGAGCCATCTCCGTTTTTTTGGAGAAGGAAGTTCAGGAAAGATGGACAAAGGACGTGGGCGGAGTCAACTTTCAAAAATATCCTATTTAGGAACATTCTCTCTTCTTCGACTTTCTCGAATTCCCATTTTCATTAGACAAATTTTGAAACAGTAAGGAGAAACCATATCGTTTTCTGTTATCTATTTTAGAATTTTTATGGGTTCTTAACCCATTCAGAAAACTTTTTTGTCTCTAATTTCCTATCTTCTAGAAAGAAAATTCTTCTCACCATCCTAAAAATGTTGCATTATGTTGACCTCCATTCTTCTGTTCCTTCTTCGTTTCATCGCTTTCGATTTGAACACTTGATGAATTAATTTGCCTTCTTTTTTCTTTCCTTCACATCTTCATGTTGCGAATTCCAACTTTTTTGAAGCGAATGTAATGACCCTCCGGCAGCTGATAATATTTGCCCATCTTTGGGCACTATGCCTGGCCAATATCAACATGTTCATAAGCAAGGAGGAGATGAATCGGACATTGGGTAAATTTTAATCTCAATTTTTATTAAAAATACCGATTTTCCAGGTGTCAAAGCTGAGCTAAACTACATTGAAATGGGTAGCATCAATACTTATTCCACGAAATTCCATTATCGAGTTATGGCCAATATTGACTACGTTTCGTTCACTTGGAATGCAGTTGGACAGGTATTTTGAACTTTTTCAGGGCTTCTGAACAAACAGAAAATATCAAGTTTCTCACCCAAAATTGATTCTGTTTCTATTTTTGTCCACATAGTTCAAAATTCAAAAACTCAAACTTTCAGGTTGATTACGATGTCCGGGTAGAAGCAGATGACTCTTCAGTTCTTCCTATAATCCGTATCCCTCTCAAGGGACGCGTACCAGCCTCCTTTCAAGGTACCAGTTTATCAAAATTCGTAATTTATTCCCTTCCCTTTTGTAGACTTCAGCGTCGAATACAGATGCGCGGGTCATCGATCCGGACAATTTACTGTCAGCCTATATTTCAATTTCTACTACGACGGCAAGACGGTGCCGGTCAAATTGAGACAGGAGAAAATTTGCGCGTCACGAGATGGACGGCGAGGATTGAATGGTTAGTTTCTGAATATATTTTCAACCTTCCTTGTGTTTACCCACAAATATGAATGACATTGGGACCCAAAACATTTTTCTGATGACGACGGGACAAGACGAGGAGACAATGATTGAATGACACGCTCTCTCTTCTTCTGTCTCTATAATGCAGCTGTTTGATTGTCACAGGAGCGGCGGTAGACGAAAATAAATGAGTTCGATTGAAAGAGAAAAAGAGGTCCCAACACCGACTATTCAAAGAAAGAGAGAAAATTGTGAAAACGAGCGCTTCAAATGGAAAATAATGATTATTCTGGGGATTGTTATTCTAGGGATGCGAGGACCGGAATTTTTCGAAAAATGCATTTTTCTAATTAGGCGAAAACAAGTGAGCAACAAGAACTAGGGTGGTTCAGAGTTTTGCGGATGGGTTCCAGAAATATGCGATTCAATAGATAAATTTTATATGTTAATCGCTTTTTAGGATCACTAGAAAACTAATTAATTTGATTACCGTGGAAGGGGTTGTTACAAAAAGGGATTCAATTGTACTGTCTTATAGTATCGGATTTTTTGTTGAAAAAACAAAAATAAGTGGGAAACATTCAAACAAAAACAAATAAAAATTCTGATAAAACAGATATAGTATTCACTGATCTAAGTTTTAGAGAAATTTGCCGTTTAACAATTAATTTTAACTAGTACAGTAGTCCTCCGTATTTATTTTTCTAGGTGCCCACCCGAGCCGTAAGTTTTGACCTCAATTAACTAGATTCCTGTAAAATAATTGCAAAAATGCGGTAGCGAATGAAATATTGGTGGTAATTGACAAACTTTTTATATCTTTTAAAAAAATTGAGATAATTGAGTTTAAAGGTGGCGGTCTCGGTGGGCTTCTAATAGAGGAAAAATGGCATATCATTCAACTAAGGAATTTTGAACAAATCGAATTTTCAATTGTCCAGCTTTTTCATATTTCTCATTTATATTCTAGGTGGATACGAAGGAACCGAAATTGATGATCATGACTCTATTGACAAGGCATTTTTTGTCATCATCTGTATTGCCGCCGCCTTCCTGCTCATTGTTGCAGCTACCCTCATCTGCTATTTCAAGAGATCAAAAAAAGAAGACATGATTCAAACTCGACTTCCGTTAGTTTCATTTTCCCGCTTTAGAATTGCCTTTTTCAACAGTTAATCTTTGTTCAGGACATCTTTCCGAAACTCGCTGAAATCCACAAAAAGCGCGCAACCATTTCTTCTGAGCACTCCGAGAGATGGTAATCCGGCACTCGTTTTCCGCTTCTTTCGAATAGAGATCTTTTTTGCAGGACCTCAAACACTTTCGGCAGTTTCGAGCGCTCCTTGTTCTTCCTCAACGTCGGGGAATTCGATAATCCCGGACAGGCCGCGAAACGTGAGTTTTTTATGAAAAGTGACAAGAGAGCCCAACTGACGTAGGAATGATTTTTAGATTGACGTGCGACGTGCATTGTTACAACTATATCAAGATCGAGAAGCATTCCAACCTCTACCCTATGTAGATATGGAAGGTTAGAAAACAGAGGGAACCAGGTTGAAAATAATTTCTGATTTTTTATAGGAACTTTTGGTGAAGTGAGATACGCAATTTGGCGTCAAGTAGACGACGTTCTCAATGGGGACGTCGACGACGAGGAGGATGCGTTTTGCAATCAGGAAGCGGTTTACACCAAAACCTTGAAAAAGAATGCTTCATCGATTCAGTTGGATCGGTTTCTGTCCGATGCGCTTCTTTTCTACAACATCACACCTCACCAAAACTTGTCTCAAGTGGCATGCGTCGCATCTTTCGGAAGATTCGACCGCCCGGAAACTGTCACAGATTTTCCTCTGGTCTGTTATAGGCATCAAGGTTTTGGAAATTTAAAGAAGTTCCTAGCCAATTGTAGACACGGAGATAAAACCAAAGGTAGAAGAATGATAAAAAGAGAAAAAACAAGTTTAATATGATTTTCAGGAGCTCAAACTCTCAGAACTCATCAGCTAGTTGCTCTTGCCACTCAGTTATCCTCAGCGGTTGCTCATCTTCACAAATACCGTATTGTCCACAATGACATTGCTGCCAGAAATTGCTTGATCGCTGAAGTAAATGGACGTCTACAGGTCCAACTTTGCGATTCCGCACTGTCTCGGGATCTCTTCCCTGCTGATTATCATTGTTTGGGAGATAATGAGAACCGCCCATTAAAATGGATGGCTCCGGAAGCAATTGCTAGCGGATTATACTCGTCGTCCGCAGATGTTGTAAGTGAATCTTTTTTTGTAGAATTGTTTATAAATAGTTCTGCCAATTCTGTCACCAAAAATCAAACATTAACTTTAAGAAAATACACAGAAATGTTTACAGTGGTCCCTAGGAGTGCTCATGTGGGAACTGATGTCGCTCGGTGGCTCACCATATGCCGAAATCGATCCTGAAGATGTGTATACAATGATTCTCAAAGGAGCGCGTCTCCATCAGCCAAACAATTGCCCAGATCAATTGTAAGATATCGATATAAGCAAATTGAATTTGATTCTGAATTTCATTTCTTTCCAGATACAAAGTGATGCTCTGCTGCTGGCGAGTGCTAAGTGAGGAACGGCCGAGCAGCGAACAGGTGCTCCATGGACTACGTGATTTCAACATCCAACTCAGTCAATACATCTAATTATGCAACGCAGTAAAAAATCCATCAAAATTTAGTGACGGGTGTAATCGTTCCGATTCGTTTTATATTTGTCAACAACTCCTCTCCTCCTCTCCAAAACTGTCCCTGTTCATTATTAAAAACATGAGTACATATGAAATTATATTTTTGTGTAATAAACAATAATAATTAATAAAGTGACTAATCATACATTATATCAATTACGCTTTCAGCATTACTGGAAGAAGGCAAGAATGTGAGTTTGGTAGATGCGCAGCTTGTTAGACAGAATCTGCCAAGTCCGCAGTTGTTAGAACGATCACACCAACGTTTGGTGCAGCATACAGTATGGTTACCACAGTTTGAGTCGTCACGGCATTCACTTTTTACATGGTCTGTAACAATCTTATATAATTGGAAAAAAAGCGAAAGTTGTCATTCTCATGCTGGTTTTTTTCGATTCAAAACTTTGCTAGAATTCTAGAATCCCGTGAAACGTTAATTAGATGGGCTGGTCCTTGTATTTTTCAAGGTACACAGGGAGAACCTTTCTGTTACAATGGCCCTTTAATTAGAGGGGTCTTCTCATTTGTCGAGTCATTTTTTTCGAAAATTGGTCTTGAAAAATTTTATCAAAAACACGTTTTGAAGGGGACCTTTCTAAAACATGGGCTGGTCTATTCTTAGAAGTACCTTTCGGAGGGCCCTTCTATTAAAGGGGTATTAAAGGAATCTGTCTTATACTCACCTGATGCATTATCCATCTCTATCCTTACAGGTCGGTTTTGTCGGTTTGCCTTGGTGTACTCGTGGTACAACCGTATCTCGTCGGATGTCCGAATTCCGTTCACTCCATTCAAAGGGGCTCTTCTGAAAAATGTGCATTTCAGTCCCCACCTCATTCGAACTCACCTGAATTCCCCACTGAAAATCCCCAAATGTGGAACATCTCCCTTTTTCATCGGGTACCATACTCCCATCCTATGGTCCTGGAATGGTGCAGGTTCTGGTGTCACTTCCGGAGGATCATCTGATGCCATATCCTCACTGATGTTGCTCAGTGGTGCGGTATTGTAAATTTTTCCCTGTTGAATCACCAAGGCTTTCTTTCGGTTATGATTTTATTTTCATTTGGTTTTTCGTTTGATAAATCCGGGATTGGAGAGAATTTAGAATTCAAATCTGGAATATTTTCTAATTATTGATTTTTTTTGTTGATTCCAACCTTCTGAAGCGAGAGACACTTGAATTTCTGGTACTGATTTTGAATCCGGACTTGGATTTAAATTTGAGAAACTTTGTAGAATTTGAAAACTTGGCTTCACATCTTCCCTGCAAAATTAAATTTCGAGAGAAATCTCATGTTTTTTGGCCACCCACTTTTCGGAAATCCGAGCCGCGTGTGAATTGAATAAATCAACTAAACTCTTGTGGTCTTTCAATTCCTCGCGTGTTGGTTCGGCGCTCAACGCGCGTGGCTTCTTGAAACCGTTCTTGATTTTTGATGAAATCGGGAATTCAATCTCGTCGACACCGCTGAAAAGAAGGGATTCAAGAAACGGAAGTGAATGGGGAGGAGGATAACTTCATCTCTTCCACTTCTGACGCGTCATCTGGAGTGGGTGTTGTGGTTTTCTGCTTTTTTGGTTTCCGACGGTGTGGGAGAAGAGTTGGTGGGGGCTGAAAAATACACGAAAGTTTAGCAATTGGATTTATCGTAATGAGTACCATCTCCAGATGAATTTTCTTGATGTGAGACAGTGATGGCACAGGATACTCTAGTTCCTGCACTTCTTCTTTAACTCCAAGAAAGTTTGGTTTTCTGGAAAAATTTTTATAGCGTTTTGATAAATAGTTTGCTGAATAGCCTCAAATCACCTCTCCTTCATATATTCCATTTTATGATCATTCTCTATTCTTCTAGTAGTTGTAGGTTGCGGAGATACTGTAGTTTCAATCATGAAAAACTGGTCGACAGTGAGCGGTGGTGTTTGAGGCATAGCTAAAAACACTAAATATGGAAAAAACAAATAAAACGGGTTACTTTTGATGGTCATTGAAAATTGAGTAGTGGGTAGTGCTGTTGAAGTAGTCGTCGGTGGAAACCAATCATGCTTTTTGACCTTCGCCGTGGTTCGTTGAAGTTGTTTGGCAAAATCTTCAGAGACAAAGCGGGCCATGCCTCTGGAATAAGGACTGCAATTTTTTATGTTGATTGGTAAATCCTATTTCGGTAATACAGTGTTTCCACATTTCCCAATCCATCAACATTATCTCGATTCCGGTAAAAAAATATCGAACCTTTGTCAACTGATGAATTATTTATCATAGTATTACCAATATTTAATCAGTTGACATAATTCGATATCATTCACAAGAATCGTTTTTAAAGCTGACGGTTTGGATAGAATTCTATCAGAGGACAAATTGTAACTTGTGGAGTTTTTAAAATAAGCTTTCTAATTTCTCGAAAGTCCTCTAATTCCTTTGATTTGCTCTGGCCTTGCGTTTTATTTCCTTTCTCATTGGAAGGACCTTTTGATAGAAGAGCCATGAATTTGAAACCAGAATTCACCAAATTTGTTAATGAAAAAAAAGGTTCCCGAAAACTGTCCGCTATCATATGGCAAGTAATCTGTCTATTGACTTTTTTTGATATATTTTTAGGAACCAAGATAATTGAGCTCAAAGTGATGGGTCAATGTTACTTTTTCGAAGATTTTTCAACCTTTTCGTTAGCTCCACTCCGGGGCTTGTAATAACAGTAGGCATTGTTGGCATCACATTAACTTTCTGGGTCGTGGTTGGTTCCATAATCTGATCAGTATCAAATGACACACGTTTCTCTTCTTCCTCTTCCTCATCTTAAATTTTTTTCTACTAATACCATTTATTCTCGAATATTTTACCTGTATTTCTCGAAATTATCATGTTCTCAAGTTTTGGTGGAACATCTGATCTGAAAGCAATTTTTGCTTCTTAACATTTTTCCAGAAAATCAGTACCGCCGCAATTTCTCGGGTACATTCCAACAATCGCCATGAATACACACTAGGTTGTCTGGGCACTGCTCGTTCTTATCACAAACACCTTAAAAATTGCGAAAATGTGTAATTGAGAAAAAATTCAACCATTGCGTGCGCGTTTTATCGCTCATGCATTTCATTCTTTAAAAAAAAACTGTCACCGGAGAGAAGTCGAGCAAAAATTCAAAGAACAAAAGTCCAATCTCGTGCAAATACAAATTTCATTTTAAAAATCTGATTCGATATTCCAGAAAATAAAACAAAAATAGAAAACGTGCTCCATTCACCACAGCTCCAATCTACCTGGCCATTCAAGACGCTCCGATAGTCGTGGTTTTGATGATCGTTTCTTACGTTTCAGCTTTTTGGATTTTGAGATTTCCTAGAAAAATTTGTTTCCTGAGAACCTGAAAATCAGAAAGAGCTTACATTTTCTATTACACTATCCTCGATTGTGTTTTCTGCGGGCGGCATTGGACCTTTTTGGGCTCCTGAAAATATTTATAGTAAGATGGACGATTTTCATAGATAAAAAACAACCTGACTCAACTTCACAAATTCCAGATTTTCTCATGTTTTGCTGATATCCGGGCTGGCAATTGCATTTTCCCAAATCACAATATTGATTTTTTTCAGAGCAATCTTGGTCAGTTTCGCAGTCTGTAAAATATATACATTAGTTTATTAATTTTAACTACGAGTGTGGATAATTTGATAATGTTATAGAGGTACAGAAATGCCAAAACTACTTTTCACATTGATTCTGTTTTTCTTGGTTCTTGCCAAATATATATATATATATATATATATATATATATTAGAAAGTCAACAAATGAACTGTTTTTCATAATATCGGAAGTGTTTTGTCAGTTGACACGTTTTGAATATCTTGCAAAGGAATCGAGATAATTTAGACTTGCTAGTGTGTGGAGCCATCTGTTACAAGTTTCAAGGTATATTAATTTCAGTAACCAACTAAAGCCAGACACAGTGAACAAGATACACTCAATAACTAGATAATTCAAATACACTGGTGCAATCAAACTAACTAGTATAGTGTTGTTCAGTGAAGTAATTCGGATGTATGCAATAACCTTGGTTTAAGATAAACAGTGATCCCTATCTCACCTTGAGCAATCCAAAGACATTGACAGTCTTGGCATCCTTTGGCATTTATGGTAACAAAACAATTTTTACCACATCCTCTTGGGGGCGCACAGGTTTCTGATATTGACTCTATAACTATGATTCTATTTTACTTCTCGAAAAAATTCTTAGATACCGGTAGCATTTCCAGAATAGTCCCGATCATCTTCTTCCTCGTCTTTTTTGGTTTTCGCTGACGTGGCACTCTCCACTGCTGAATCTTCCTTCTCCTTCTGTCCATCATACTTTGTTGTCTCACTCGTATGTAGAATGGCATTGACTTCGGCTTCTGTTTTCTGATACAGAGTGTTGGATACCGTTTCCACTTGAGCGTCACTTGTGTTCTGGTCGTATAACGTGCTTGAATTGGATGATGACTCAACAACGGCGTCTTCCACAGCCGAATCGTTTTTGGCAATGTTGAAATAATCGATAGTTGTAGAATCCTGAGATTCCTCGTGTTCCTCCACGGCTTCACCAGATCCTTCATAGGCGACTTCTGAAAATTTCAAAGTTATTGTGAATTTAAGTTTTTTTTGCTATTTTAATAGCATTGTAGTACAACAAGCTCTTACTTTTGATGTTCTCATCTACTGCTGAACTGGAAAACAAATCTGTTCCGATAGCAGGTGGTCCGTTGGTGTTAAACATACTTTTCATCTTGAGACGCTTTTTCAGAGTATCTGCTTGATCGGAATCTGAAAATTTGAACCTTTCATGGAGTCTTCTCAAGAAGTCAAGCTCACATTTAATCGCCAACTCATCTTTTTCTTCTCCCGAACTTGAATTCGCTTCGTCCAGTAACGTAGGAAAATTCTGGAAGTCCTAGCATGCTCTACAGTTTACATCAAGCAAACTCACATCTGTGCTGAACGGTAACTCGTCCTCTTCTAAACTGTGTGGTGCTGATTTGGCTAATAGAAATGTAGAAAACAAAATCAAAAATCGCATAATCTGAAAGTGAGTGGAATGTGTGAATGGAAGAAGTGCGAAATGAAAAATGAAAAGAGACAGTCAGTGGGCGGATGGAAGAAGAAGCTAGTTCTGAACTACTTGAGAGTTTTTTCTTCTTCTTTTTGAATGACATATGAAAACCGATTCTGCTAAAAAGATCTCGTCCTTCGAATGTTACTTGAAAAGAGAGGTTCATCATCAAGAAGATGAAATATTATTGAAACCGAAAATGAAATATTATGAATCATAAACAGTTCAAAGATGGAAAGTGAAATATGGAATCTTCTATGAACAAAAAGGAAAAAAGGAAATTGTTGAGGTAGTCGGGAAAACGGACAAGTGAGTAGGTTAGACTAGCTCATTAGACGTCGTCGGGTCACTCAAGACGGGCGGTAGGTATTCATACAAGGTTCCGTGCGCCAACTTTCACCCGCATCTGGCCCGTTTCAAACAATTGAAACCGCAGGCCGAACTAGATAAACTGCGCAATACTTATTGGCATATGTCGGTAGGGCTTTTACCGCTCGCTACCGGTTAGATGCTTTTTGACCGGCGAGAATTGGAAGCGAACAGTGCTTTTGGCGCTTAATTTTTGTTTTATTGGGATGTGTGAGAATAGATTCCAGATATTTGAATGAAATTGGTTCCAGTGAGACGAGTTATTTCAATTGGTTCCACAACCGGAGAACATTCAAGAATGCATATTTAATATAGTTTTGTTTTCCAGAGTGAAGTAAGACGGAAGTTGAGTGGTTTTTTGTTGATGAAGAACAGAAGACAATAGGTGCTTCTGAAAAGCAAGGGTCACTACTAGAGGCCGAAAAACAATCTTTTCAAAAGTTCAGATTTGGGTTGCTACTTTAACATTCCAGAAGAATTGTGTTTTTCCACTTTTTTCTTCTATCACTTCAAATGAAAATAATGAATTCAAATATGAAATTTACTCCTCATGAAAGTCAAATAGATGTATTCCTTTTTACGACACAAATGTGTTGTTAGAACATATTTTGAAGTCAAACTTTCAACATGGTCAAAATTTTTTGGTTTAAGACCAATAGCTCATTCGCACGTTTCCCATCCTAGTAAATTTTGTTGCAGAGATATAGTGTGCTGTGTCGATTGTTGACAATCGACAAAAATCGACGAAAATCATCAAAATCGGTGTCGATTTCGTCGACTCGATCAAAAATCGACATTCAAAAAGTCGACAGAAAATCGATTTTTCAAAAGTCGATGAAAGTGAAAATCGACAAAAGTCGATTTTTGCCGATTTTGAATCGACTCAAAATCGACAAGAATCGACATTTGTCGGTTTTTGTCGACTTTATTGTCCGAGAGGACTACACGGTCGGTGACCTAGAAACTGCCTGTGGCTGGAGTATTTTTCATCAAATTTTCCACTGAAAACCCGTATTTTTCTTGTTTTTTTTTGTTTTTTTTTGTTTTTTTTTTCTATTTCTTTTATGACATTCTTGCTTTTTGCAGATGAATTCGTCACAAAATCAATCAATGGTGTGGCGATACTTCGAAAAACAAAATAATGGCCAAAATGTGATCTATAAACTGTGTGGAAGAAGCATAAAGTTCCATTCTTCGACCACGACGATGTATCAGCACTTAAACAGTCACCACGAGAAAGAAGTTGAAGAAGTGGAAATATCAGCAAGTCTACGGCTCCGTCGTTAACAATAGCCGAAGAAACAGGATGAAACCGAAGACTCTTAACCAGCAACTTCTTTGTGCGGCATTGGCCACTTTGGAGTAAGATATTAAAGTTTATTTTTCCACAAAATCTGATTTTTCTTCAGATCTACAAAGAAAAACACGTCGACGACAGAAGAGTACGAATATGATGACGAGAATGATGAATCAGAAGGCTTGGAATATTACGAATCCAGAGAGCATTACGATGATACTTTTGGAAACGATTTGGCCCAAATAATGAAGCATTAATTCCTAATGCTGAACTTTGTGCTTCCGTTTCTTCCCTTTCTTAAAAATTTCTTCGCTTTGAATTTTCTTCTATTTTCCTTGCCATCTTCTGAGACATACTGATTCTCTATTTTGTACCCCCGTTGAAATTACACTATTTGTTTTTTTACTCATAAAATAAAGTTGCTACTCTACACAAAAAAAATTTCTCGAGGTGAAATTTTACTTTGAAGTCCGGAAAAGTCGATTTTTGTCGATTTCCGTCGACGCAAAATCGACAACGAAAAGTTCGATTTTCATCGACAAATAGCCTTGTCGAATCGTTGAATGTCGACTGTGTCGATTTTCAAAGTCGACAAAAATCATCGATTTTCGAGTCGACTCGGCACTCTACAGAGATACACTAGTAATGTAATGAATGTTTTGTAACCTGTAATCTGTTGTTCAAGATTCACTTTAGTTTAAAATTATCTCTTCTGTCTGAACAAAGTTATGATTTTTCGATCAGACTCGATCCAATTTTCTGAAAAACTTGAAAAAATTATGCACAACCTGCACATGGGCACCTTGTACCATAATTTTTGTTTAAATTCATGCAAGGTACATTTTTTGCCACTAATATAAAAAAAGAATCAACCAGGCACTTTGGGTACTTCCCTTGTTTGTAAAAAATTAAAATGATTCATATTGCGAAATTTAAAAATTAACTTTTTTCTGAAGCAATCAATGCTCACAATGCGTCCATGTTGTACAATTAAAATTTATTCTACGCAAAAATATATAGCAGAATATATTCAGGAACAACATAATAGGAAATGACGTACAAAATTCTTACATCGAAAATTCGGTAGAGTTAATATGGTCTTGGATATCCTGGATATGGCTGGCCTGGTGGGTATTGTCCAGTTGGTGGTGGTGGATATTGTCCAGGCGGGTACATTCCAGGCGCAGATGGAGTGGCTCCAGTTCCGATTGGATATGGTTGTTGACTGTAGCCAGATGGATAGATGGTTGATCCACCGTATGGTTGTGGTGGTGGTGGCATGCCTGGTTGCTGTCCTCCATAGGCAGAATATTGTTGAGTTGGAAGTGGAGGAGCTTGTTGTACATATCCTGGCATACCTGGTGTCACTCCTGCTCCGATTCCAGCTCCCAGTGGTGGTGGTGGTGCTCCATAGCCAACTCCTCCCATTGGACGTGGTGGTGGTGGAGCATATCCAATTCCAGATCCGACTCCTGATCCGAGTGGTGGTGGTGGGGCTCCGTATCCGATTGGCATGACTGTAGTTGCTGCACCGAAACCGATTGGGACACGTCGGAAGGAACCGCCGCTAGAAGAAGAAGAACTTGAGGAAGAGGAAGAAGAACTCCGGCACGGACGACCGTACATCTAAAGAAAAGCAACAAAGTTGAGCGATTTAAAAGAAGAAAAGTCAAACAGAGACTAGAAAAAAAGCTGTCGATCGATGGTATGAATTGCGAATAGGGGTGGGTGAACCGCCTTTTTTGCCTCAACAATTCAAACGTGATACGGTTATCAGTTTGCATTGTCAGAAGGCGAAAGAAGAAGTTTCTCGTTTTTCAATCGAAAAGAGCAAACAATGACGTATTCGAAATTGGCAAGGCGTTTCACAGTGTATATTTTGAAATTTTTCGACAATTTCGAATGAATCATCAATACAAGATCATGACCTTCACAGGAATGACTCAATGGGAAGGGAATAGATATGGGTCTCATGGATGACTAGAATTGTTGAAAATGGCAAATAAACAAAAGTTCTGAGGAAGAAAAGGGGAATGCCAATCAATTAAAAAGAAAATGACATTTGCGACAGAGACTGAAAAGCTAAAGAAAAATAATTTTGTTAACTCAACAGCAAATTTTTATTCAATAAATTCCGAAATAACCTGAAACTTTGGCAAAGAATTTGGAGAGAACCAAGTTTTTGGGGTCATTGGGGTACACAGAAATTAGGGACTACAAAATCCACATGTTTTTCAGGTATTTTCTACCCTTGAATTGAGGATTTTGTATCCCTTAATCTTTTCATACTCCAATGACAACAGAATGTTTGTACCTTCCGATTTTCACCGGAATTTTTTTTCCTTGTTGACTGCAAAAATTGTGTTAAAACTAGAACAAAATAACAACCAAGAAATATTCTTGATAAAGACAGAACATTGTCATCATTTATACGTTTTTCAAAAACAATGAGGAATAATCAATTTCTAAGGAAAATGTGTTTTTTCAATTAGCAATAACACTGACTCGTTCAAAAACTTTTATGAAACGTGGGTCAGATTAAAATGATTTCAATCAAATGATTGCTCATTTTCTCATTTCCTCAATATTATAGCATTTTTTTTTATTGAAACAACTGTTTTTTTTTTATTCTTCCGTTTGTTCTCTTTTCCTTTTCTCTGCCTTCCTCACACCGCTTACCCAAAGGATTGCGAAATTCGCTTTCAAAACAAATGGAAGCTGAGAAACAGAGAAAAAGTCGGTTAGGCGGTCGGCGTTTCATCGGTGTACGCTTTGAAGGAAAAGTGTGGCCGAATGGTCTAGTGGTATGATTCTCGCTTTGGGTGCGAGAGGTCCCGGGTTCAATCCCCGGTTCGGCCCATTCCTTTTTTATTCTTTTTTTAGAGATTTGGAAATTTTGGGTTAGGATTCGTGTTTTACGGCATATTAAAAAGCAGTCGAAGAAATCTTTTTTCTGAAGAAGTGATGGGAACAAAAACGTTGAATGAAAACTTATGCAACATTTGATGCTTTCATACGATTTCTCGACTCCACTCCTCATTGTTTCCACGAGTTTTCTCATTCAATTCAGATTGTCCCAACTAGTAGAGGAAGATTAATGTGACCAGTCTATACAAACACTTCGACTCCTGAAGCCTTCAAGGTCAATCCTTGTTTGTTGTCGCGAAAAAAAGAGACAGCGAGTGGTAAACTCGTATCTCTGACGTCGACGACTCTTTTTCTCTCCCCCTACGTCGTGTTTGTCATCAAAATGGTGTTCTTTCCGCGTTGTGGCCGGATGGTCTAGTGGTATGATTCTCGCTTAGGGTGCGAGAGGTCCCGGGATCGATCCCCGGTCCGGCCCACCTTTTTTTTGAATTTTTGAAAGTTATTTGCTTCACAATATTTCAAGATTATTTGAAGTTTTTGAACTTATATGAATATCACAAAAAATCATTTTACATTTTAATGCAAAAATTATTTTAAAATTTGATCCTTTATTTTTTAATACGAATCTTTATATATACATAACCGGATATTAACACAAGGAGAAGCAATAAATAGCAAGAAAACATTCGTTGGAATCATTGGAAGAATAATAAATCAATTTTCCATGAATCAGAATCACCCGGAAAGGAGATGTTTGCTAGACTGACCTAAGTTTTGGTATACTGGACCCATATAGTAACTGAGAAGAAAATCGGCTAAACTACGAGAATTCAAGATCTTCTTAGGCATAATCCGTGAGTTTAGCTTTGTTCTCGGAGACTTTAACAGGACACTTGTTGCAACATCTACAAACTGCAAAACAGCAAACAGCCAGGATCAGGAAGGCGAAAGAAATTCCAATTGCAATCAGTGGAACAGTGAATGAAGAGCTGATCAGTCTCTCCTGCATTACAGCAATTCTCGTCTCAGCAAACGCTTCTCGACCTGAAACACAATCTTTATGATCATACCCAATCTATATAGACGTGTTGCGTAACGCAATAAAGATTTACTACGGTAAATATTGAGAAACAAAAAAAAGTTGGGAAGGACCAACATACCTATTGCGTCATAGTTCGTGATACGGAACATAAACTCGCAGTGAACGTTGCGTGGCAGTAACATCTCATAACTTGTGGATGGTGCTCCCAGGTATACAGTTGTTGGATCTTTGTTGCATGGTCCGAGGTATGCTTGGTAGGTGATGGCGTAGGTCAGGATGTTTTCAGGTTCAGCAGAGGCTGTCCATGTGATTTGAGCAGTCGAGTTGGCTTCAATAGCTACACGGATATTTGAAACTGGTTCCGGGGCTGAAATATATAGTTTTTTTCTGGACCCATAAGCAAATTCCAGATAAAATTTAAGGTTATAAAAAACCTACCACATTGAAGACTTCCTTTTCCGTAGACTTGTTTGCATTGGAATGAGTTGAATCTAACAGAAATTGGATTCGTGGCAGTGTTCTGATCCGACGAGAGAGCAGAAAGTGTGACAGCATAAGATGAATCAAACTCCAAATGAGACAAAAGAATCGAGTATGTCGGATCCACACGAAGATCCGAGACCACAGAATTTGTTGCGTTTTTCACTTGTAGCCGGAAATAGCAACTGTCATATGCGGTTCTGCAAGAGAAGAGGGATTAATTAACTGATGGCCACAAAAAAAAGAGGGGGAGAAGGGGCAGTTAAATTGAACGACCCGGATATTATCGTCAAGCTGTTGGGGGTTCAAAGAAGAACGTCGGTGTCTCATGGACCACTCGTATAACGTCTAATTAGCTCTCATTATTATTGTAGCGGAAGCTATTAGAAAAAGAGCTCGCGTGTTGCTCATTGAGAAAAAAACAGTTACCTCGGGAAATGAAGATGAGCGACTACTCCTTGCTCAGAATTGAATCCGTTTTTCACAATCAATGGTGCTCCAGGAGCCTTTACAGTTAGTGTGTTGGAAATTTCAGTCCATTCACTCTGAATCGTGTCACCAAGTTTACCAGCTGGTCCAACTACAGTAACGAGAAACTTGTATTGTACTCCAGGAATCATTCCATCAACTTTGATCATACCATCGGATTCCACCTGAATTAAAAACTTAATATAACGTGATTTATAATTAATCAGCGTACCGATGCCGTAATCCATTGACTTTCATCATAGTATCCAAGGGCATAAGTTCTCTGCTTCCATTGCACAACGTACTGTACCGGGCCAGATGGACGAACTTTTGTGAGGCCAAGGAGTCCCTATAATTGAGTTATATACTTATTGCCTTTGTGACACCTCATGAGTCAAAATACGCAACACACAGTAACAATGACATTTATCCCTTATTTACTTCTACCTCCCACTGGTGCGTTTTCTCACCTCAAACGAGTCGTCCAAATCAGGTGTTGCTGATGGCATCTGGCACAGTAACTCAATTGTAGAGACTGGGGAAGATCCAACTTTTCCAGAATGAGCAGTGGATTCCAGCCAAAACTTTGCTCCTTGAAGAGTCTCTCCAGTCAGATTGCTTCTTTTCATATCACGTCTGTGTTGAAATTGAAGGCAACCATTTTCGCATTTTGAATATTCTTCAGTATCAACGAAGAAGTACTCGTCGATCGAACCGTCAAGGTTTTCTCTTGTTTTTGGGTAGCCATACTGAACAGTTCATGATAATGAAACAATTATAAAAAGGAATATAGTACCTTCTCTGAACACTTTGCCTTGCAATGAGCAACTCGGATGAGATGTGCATAGTCAATTTGGATGTATGGAAGGACAACAAAAGATATTACCAAATTGGTTGTACAGAGAAGTATTAAGATACTACTGTGTAACCTCATGATCATGGGAACCTGCAAAAACTTTTATACTTATTGTTCTCTAGAAGCCGTCGAAGCGTAAAGAACACGAGAAGACAGAGAACTTGAGCAAGACTGCATTCCACCAGCCTAAGGTAATAATAATTAGTGTTGCCTTTGTGAAGGAGATGCGTTTTCGAGAAGAGCTCTTGAACGTCTTTGTTCGTCGCCTAGAAGGTTCTTGACGATTAAGCATCGAAAATGAAGGGAAATTTTCGAGAGAAAAGAGTCTTTTAACGACAGCTCCAGTCAACACCAAATTTCCGGAGGCAGTTCGAGAATGAGAAAAGATTTGAGAAAAAAAAGATTGTTTTTCGGGGAGGGCAGAGAATACAAACACTTGGTGGTAGTTAACCTCCAAAAAAAGAGCCCCCAGAACAATAGGTCATGCAAATGCGTCTCTCTAATGGTTCGGAGAGGAGGAGACCTCTACGTATTTAGAATATTAAGAATATTATAAACAATATGTGAGAAGGTCAAATAGGATTTTCTAAAGATGATTTTTGTATAGATCTACTGATCATTTACTGTGAGGGACGCGTCTTCTAGCAACTGGTGTGTGTGTCGACGCAAGAAAAGAAGGATGGGTTGAACGGATTACACAACTGGCTGCCGGATTTATTGGCCAATTGCTTATTGGTAAGGTGTTCTTTCGGGAGGCGATTCGCGAGTAACGGGTCGTCTCGAAACTAACAGTTGGCGTCAAGTGCCTGGCATATATTATCGATGGCAGTTTGAAGAGGAATAAAAAAGTTAGGAGGATGGGGAGAAAAGCGGAAAAAGAGCTATGAAAGGGAGGATATGAAATAAAAAAGGAGACAACACGTGAAAATGAAGGGGAAGCCTTAATTCGAATTATCCTAGATTACATTCTTTTGCCTCCGGTGTTTCCGATATGGGAGAGAATCTTAAAGCGGGAGATTTGGGATTTTCTTGCACTTTAGAAAATTAAAATAACTACGTGGAAGGCACGTAAAAGGTAAAATATCATAAAAATAGAAAAGAAACTGATCCACTTGAAGGGTTCAATAATGCAGTCCGGCATGGAAGAGTGAAATTTGAATAAGAACAAATAGACATAGAGAGCTACACAGTGGACTCTAAGCGCTGGATAATGTTTGTTAGAAAGGAAGGATAGAAACTTTTTTTTTGAATAGGACGGATGAGCGACACAACAACATACACAAAATTGCAACATTGTAAAAAAACGATAAAGTTTAGAAAAATTGAGGGAGGCCGGAAAATTCGAGGGAAAAAGAGGAGGAGTGCAAATCGTCAAAAACTTTTGGGACACGACTCACAGGCCCGTGCCGAAGAGCTCGTTATTCGCTGTTAACTAGGCCAATTTCAAAGGATACTTTCTTTTATTTCACACAAACACACTGAGATACATCCACAGACATTTAGAAAATAAAAAAGGAAAAGTAGCCACTAAAATTTTCGGTCCACTTGGTTTTAAGATTTTCTAAAAATCCAATATCCTACTCACTCTGAAAATTTGAAAATTTGTAGCAATATGTAGTATTCAAAAACAGAGCGAAGAAAGGCAAGATAAGAGAAGAAATACGTGGGGGTGTGTGTGGTGTGCCTCTGGGTGTACACCAAAAAGTAGGCGGAGCCTAGGAGGTGATGATTCAAGGAGAGGGCCGTTTTGTAACACCGTTTGGAAAAAATACCTTCGGAAGGTGTAAAACAGCCCTGAATTCAAAATTTATTGAGAATTTTTTTTCATCAGTTAGAAAGTGCCTGAAAGACACTTGTTATATTTCGAATTTCAAAGCGAAAATGCACCAAAAAGGAATTTTTTCAGAAATTGGCAAATGACTGAACAACTAAAAGTTTCTATAAAATTCTGTAACTGCAAACGTTCAAATCTAGAACTGTTGCACATTCTCCAAAATTTTGGTGTGATTGGAAACTCAACAGCCGAGCATACGACTCTTGAAAATGGCTGAAAATCAACTGGAAAATCACATTTTTGTATAGACGAATACTGAATTGCCTAAATTCACAAAAAAAAGATAGTGCCAGAAAAGGGTAAAAAGGGGTTTTTATTACCTTACCCAAATGCAAAATCCCAAAGCGCAACGGGCCCACCTCCACAGGTTAATCCCATTTTATAACCGGTCATTTGGGTGAGTAGAGTAGAATAGAAATCATAAATTCTCGAGCGGTACTGTTTCCAAAAGGCTCGTCTCCAAAAGGCTTTTTCCAAAAGGATATTGTCTGACAAAGGGAAATTTCTCTCGCGATGACAAAAAAGGATATCGAGTTTTATGCAACATGCGTGGAAAATAATGGATTATATGGGAATGCGAAAAAAAAACGAGGCCGGAAATCTGCTCATTTCATATTCAGGAATTGCATGAAAAATGAGAGATTTCATAGCTTAACCCAGCAGCACAATCCAAAAGATAGAGGATCACTTTTTACAAAAAAGTGTGAGAATCTGACCTTAGAAAAGTATTCGGTTACCGCTTTCCCCTCAAAAAATAGAGCACCTGTTGCTTCCTCTCATCATTGGCGGTATTGGCTCCAGAAGAGCCACTCGATTAATCTAGGAAAGTACACTATATCCCGCGCAGACCCCGAATGTTTCTTGTTTTACAAGACAACCAACAACAATCCCATTACAATGATAGCCTAGTTGCTGACAGCCGCTTTTGAATTGGAACGGACCCATCCACCAGTCATCAATTAACGAATACCTGCGGCTGTCACAAACAACATATGTATCTAGATGAACACCACTGATGAATTATTCCAAACGGCGATCCGTCTCAATTTTGGTTTATCCTGGTAGTAGTATATCTCGCAAACAAGATGTCACACTACTCAAATCTCATTTTCTCACCATAAAATGTCTCGATTGAGGTTAAGAGGATCGTTCGGAGACGCGGATTAGAAGGGCAGCAGTGTTAGGAAAACAGTTAAATTGCATCGTTTTTTCGACACCTGGACAATTGGTAAATCAAGAGTAAAAACGATATTTGAAAAGTCGTTTTGAAGAATCTTTCTTCTATCAGAAAACGGACCACACTTTTATAAATGCACCAATTACGATGAGTACCTTCACTTTAGGAATCCAAACATTAGGTTAGGTGTTCGAATGCAAACAAAGGTCCATCATAATTAGAGAGTGCCCGGAGCTAGTGTTGCGCAATTGGATCCCTTTTTGGGCGTACTGACTTGTGAGTTGAAAGCCAAATAGAGCTATTGTGACATCAGAAAAACAGGGGGTGTCAGATATGCTACACGGTGTTGGTGATGGTGACACGCAATATTTGGTAATCAGTTACAATAAAATGGTGGTCATGTAAATTATGTATTGTTTACTCAGATGCACCAAATAGGTACCGAGATGTATGTAATTGTGATTGGGTAAGAAATTGGAGAAATTGGAGAATCAGAGTTTAGAGTAAAAACTCTGTAGCTCAAGTTCTAGAATTTGGGACATACGGTAATGAACTGAAAATGATCAATTATTGATTTTTTCGGTGCAAAAAGTCAAACTAGGAGTCCTAAAAATTTCAGAGTATCTATACTATACATAAAAAGGAACTAACTAGGTTAAAAATAGCCAATTTCAAAAAATTTTCACCAGATTGAAAAATTGTGGCTTACTTTTTCATTACCTCAGAGTCGACTATATTTCACCGAAAAAAGCGGAACATGATGTACCGTAAATTCGCTAATAAAAACCCACACTGTACGTTCACTCTGAGCTCAACTATCTGGGTTTCTTGAAAAGATATCAAAAATTTGAAAACTGATGAAATGTTAATGGTATCATGATAAAAATTTTATTTATTGGCCACTTTTGATACATTTGTAAGGAACCGAGATAATTGAGCTCGAACTGTACGCATGTGATAGCCTTCTATTATGTAGAGTATTCACGATAATTTTGACCTGGTACTGTAGATTTCGAATGTAAAAAAAAACTAGCAAACCGAATACCCAGATTTTTGATTCATTACATTTCAGAAATTGGAATATAAAATTTCCCATCTTGGGATTAATGAAATTACAAATTCCCAATATTGTTCTTTGTCAGAAATGTAACAACGAAACTCAGTGATGATACATCACACCCTACGGTGTCACCTCTAGGTGTCACTTTACCTATGGGAATCATAACACTCATATTTATTCACCACCTCCAAAAACAAAAACGAGAAAAACTCACCAGAAGTGGAAAACAGCAAGGTGTCAACGAGGGAGAAAAAACTATGCGAGAAGTTGTAAAGTATCGCCAGGGATTTGAAAGATGATCCATAAGAATGTTTATTTCATTCTGGATTATGCCAAAAGCTCCTTTCCTCTCTCTCCCCGGCAGCCGGTCTCGCGTTCAAAAACGCGCGGGGGCCTGGCACGTAAGTATCACATTCTTCCACACTTTAAATTGTTTTTCTGTTCTGTTAGATTAAGAAAGTAGATTGAAGAAAGAAAGGGGAGGTAGTTTGAATTATGATTGGAAATCGGGCAACAAGTGCCACGAGCCACCCCCTGGTCAGCTTCATTGGACGAAAGAGTGGGATAGAAAAAAAGAGAAAATGTGAGATAATGAGTGATAAGACTTAAATTGGCGGACATTAAAGTTCAAAAGGGTTCCGAAAAGAGATAAAAATCGGTGTCAGGAAGTGTCAAGAACTTGGGAGCCGGGCTCTCACAGACCACAGAGAATGAGGAGCAATAAATCAAAAGTAGTTTGAAGGGAAATGTCAATGAAAAAACCAGATTGCATTGAAAACGGATTGCGAGTGTTGTATTGTGTTGCAGCTTCTTTAGATTCAAAATGAGAAGATATGTATGCAAATGAGAATGAAATCGAAGGTGTTCTTCTTTTTTTTGGACAAATAACCTGTTAGTGTGATTGGATAAATGATGCATGGAAAAGACACCCATCTCTGTCCGTTTTGACACTTGACTCGTGCCAAGGTGCAATGAGGCGAACGGTAGACGAACTGGCGTGAGGTTAT